ATGACTTCTTGGAAACGAGAAGTGGATAAAAAGCAATGGGAAAACAGCAATAATTGAGGGGGTGGATGAGAAATTAAGAATCCTCCCTGCTGTAACTATCTCCTACTGTAGCTGGCTATAACGTCAAAGGGCATGGCTAGAACCGGACGGCATTGGCAGTTGACGCTTTGCTACCGACAGTCTGTTATCTTATCCCAAAGAAAGATATATTTGGGGTAGTGGCTCGCTGAAAACTTATCTTGTACACCTTTCTTACAATTATGTAAAATAAAAGTTTTTTTTTTTTTTTTGGAGAAGACCTCTGATATTAAAGGTTTTTTTTATTAAAAAGTTAATATTTTATGTTTAAGGAGGTAATTTAATGGTTTAAGGGTATGAAATTTTAAGTTACATTACATTTTTAAAATTAATTTTACAGTGCATTATACCATATGAATTAACTTATAATTCTTACAAATATTAATTAATGAATTTTTTTTTTTAAAAGGGGCAATAGTTAGAGGTGTTAGTATGTAGGGAGGGTATTGAATTCGAAACATGAGATGCAAATCACGACCTGCTCTAAAGATCAACAAGTGACTATTGAGCCACGCACATGGAATGCTATTAATTAATGAATTTATTTTTACTAAAAGGAGAAAAAGGTTTGCATATGAGAAATTAGTCTCTCATTTATTTTGAATTTTCTATGTTTTTACCTCTGAGAGGTTACGTGTAGGTATCATATACTCCTTGTCTTTATTTTTTCTTATTTTTCTCTTTTATTATTATTATTATTATTTTGACAAATACGTACCTTCTAAGGTTTATGATGTTTTGGTTGGTTAACAATTGTAACCAAAAAAATATCTCAATTGTGCATTTGGGATGAATGGGGAAAACCACATTTTCCATCCTCTCCCAATTGTGTATTTTCACTGGAATGCACCAAAATCTTGCCAAAGAAAGAGAAGGTCAAGTAGCTTTCAGATGAACCTTCTCATGCAATGCCCTGATCACTAAAGCCTCTATTTATTTGCAAAATACAAAAGTTAACACTGAAGTCATTTATAATTGTCAACATGGCATTCAAATTCTCCCACATACACACAGATTTATTTAAGAAGTTTTCTACACAAACAGGCAAATCTGATACGATACAACTATATAATTACAAAGTACAAACTGACCTTCTGCTTCAATCTATATAAAGGGCACGAGACAGAATGCCTGTGGTTTAGAGCTGTATGAATCGTGTGGAGCAATTGTGACTGGTGGGACGGCGCTGTAAAGCATCGTTTAGAGCCTTGAGTGCCTTGTCATATGAGATGAACCCAATAAACGAAAACTCATAGCCATCCACTGTGAGAACATGAATGTATTTCTCAGAAGTGTTCAACACGTTCAAAGAAGGATTGACTGCTGCCAACTGATCAAGGTGCACCACCACCTACATTTTAATACAGTTGTCAATATTCAGACTTCAGAGTACTATAATCAGCAGCTTATGAGTTAGCCGCAAACAACATTCTAACACACTAAATTTTAGCAAACAAGAAACTTTCAGGCATCATTTGCTTTCTACATTTACCAAAGCACTGGCAATCATTCGTGGCCTAAAATATTACCCTTATAAATAGCTCTACTATTTTCTTAACTGAGTGAAAAAACTGAACCAACACCACAGCAAAGATTAGCCAGTGAAATTAACCAATCTAGGAAATAGCTCTGCTGTTGTCCTACATGAGTGAAAAAACTGAACCAATGGCACAGTGAAGATTATCAGGTTAAATTAACCAATCTAGGAAAGCATGGAAGCTATCCCTTTTCTGGAGAAAGAAAGGAAAGAGAGATATCCCTTTGAGTTGAGAAAATAGGGCTATTGTTAACATTAAGCAGATACAAGAAAGCCGCATTAGAAGAAAGAAAAAAAAAAGTGAAGGCAAATACCTTATAATAAATATATTCCAATCGGCCAGGGGAAGGATAATAGCTGAGAGGATAATCACTACAGAAGGCTATTCTTTGGGTAGATACATAAAGTGTTCCAATCACAGGTCCAGAGGTGGTTGATAGATAGCAAGCAAATGCATGCAAGAGCTTCTCTCCCGGCAAGATTTGAAAAGCTTGTTGGAATAACCTTTCATGCCCCCCTTCTATAAGCAGTTTTGTCCCTTGAGAAATCTTTGCCATTGCTGCATCAGTGAGACTAGTACTAACCCTGACTGTTCTCAAAAATTAAAACCATTACAAGTTAGAATAAAAATGAAAAACAAGTATACATGACACAATCATTCTATATCATGGCTGTACAGTCAAAGAACAAATATGAAAAATTCCAGTAAGTAAAGCAGCTGAAAGTCACAGAGATACTGTCCTACTTCACCGAAAAATTTAGCATTTATTTTTCCTGCTAGACCTTAAACTTCATTCTTACCAGTTTTACTCCGGAGAACTATATCTACAATCACAGGACTTAATAGCTAATAGAAGTTTCATGATGATTCGTAAAATTGGAATCAATACTAACCGCCCCATAAATAGTTTTAAAACCATGCAAGTCCTTCCGTAAAATACCCTTTTCCACTCTCTTTATGAGGTACTAAAAGAAAGAGCAAGGGATGAACATATAAGGAGAGGCAACAATGCTATGGGAAGTATAGAAGAGAACAAATATGTACTTGTAGTAACAAATTGCCAATGCCATTAGCAATGCAATTGTCCAAAACCAGGGGCAATGATTCAATGATTCAGTATACACATAACTGCCTGCAGAGCAAAATTGGAGTTTGTTTGCATTCATATATATATATATATATAAAAAGATAGAGGAACCTATTACAAAAAGATGGTATAACCTAATTAGTAATCACCACATCTTCGAAGCAAAAGGTTGGGTGATATATATGCAACTATGCATCAAGTGAAGACCTTTTATGCTTGTTATGGGCTAGATAACATTTACATGCAGCAAAGACACATGATGAATTATTATTAACTATGCACTCTTCGGGGAATCATAGTAAGAGTTACTCGAACAAAATTCATGAAAGCACAGATTCAAGCCAACAGTAAGAAGAGAAAAACGAAGATGAATACTTACGGTGTTGCCACAAGTTGTCAGCAAAGTTCTCAGCTTTTCTGGTAGCATTTTCCACCGTCTTCCCGCAACGATACAACGCGTCACACATCCTATCCATCGGTCCTGTAGGATGAAACGAAAACCCACTTCCAAAATCAAACCTTGAATGATAAACAGTATCAAAAGCCATGGTTTAAAACTCAAAACTCACTTGTTTCATATGCTGGAGCTGGTGAAACAGTGAGGTAAGGATTGTTGGTGTTGCCATGGTAAGAACCCATGGTTGGAGGAGGAGGGAGTCAGCTTGGATTTGGGGGTTTGCACTGTGGCACGGGAATGCTTGGATGGGTTCAATAATTTAATGCTCGTCGGACTTTTTTGTCTTTTAGGCAACTTGTTGGCTCTGGGAATCCGAGTGAAGAGAATTCCCTGATGCTGATGCGATCGACACATTGAGGGGTTGTAGGATGTGAAGGAATTTTTCTTTCGGCCAAGAGATAAAAATGGAATAAAGTAGGGTTTTCTTTTTAATCCTACAAATGTAATTATGCTCTCCTTTTTTTTTTTGTGTTACAAAGATAATATTTTTATATTATTTTTTATATATTTTTTATATTATTAAATTAATAAATGTATTTGATATTATGAATTTTATATGAATTAAAAAATTAATCATTTAAATAATATGTCAAATTATATAAAAAAATAAAACAAAAAAATTATATAAAAATTATTTTTCTTTTTTTTTATTATTATTATTTAGGGAATGTTCTTTCTCACTTTCACACATACTTGGATATTAAAATTATAAAAAAAATTATAGGATAAGTTAGACATTAAAAATGTTATTTATCTCATAAATTTATTTATATATCTTTAATAAAATTATTTTTTATATCATTTTATTAAATATATTTAAATAAATTTATAAAATAAATTACATTTTTAATATACAATTTGCTATGTAAAACTTGAATTTTCTTAAAATTAATAAAACTGTCAATTTAATACAAAAATATACTAAAAGAATTAAACTTTGATACATGACTCAAGTAATTACTGTATGAGTTTATATTTACACCATCGAAATTCGATTTACTTGCCCCCAATTCCCCTAGTTTAGGAAAAAAAAAAAATGTGGCGGAAGAGTTTTTGTAGTTTAGATTTGAAATGACAAAAACATCCATTAGTGTCCTAAGTTTTGGGGAATTGATATAAGGGCATTTTCGTCAGTTCAAATTCAGCTAGGCATTCTTTCGGCCATTGGCATTCTCAATGTGTAATTAAGTAACAGTAGAACCTTCCTTGGAAAATATAACTTACAATTCAAATTTTTTATTGCATATTAGACTTTGTATGTGTGGATCAAATCCTTTACAGTTTACACTAAACACAAGTAATATGAATTTTCCACAAAAAAAAAAAAAGAAAGTTATATAAGATTAATGAAATTTGAAGAGACAGGTAGGTGTAGTTTATTATTGAAAACCTAGGAGAACTCTGAGTTGTTACTCCAAAAGGGTCTGAGACTCAGAAGTAAGAAACATGTCTTGACAAGAGTTCCCATTTGATCCTAAATTTTTCCTCCAGACATGGGAAAAAAAAAAAAGGATTTCAGTACCCCCTTGAATCTGGGGTGAAGCCATTATCTGAAGATGATAGACTTAAATCACTTATTGCATGCATACCTCAGAAATGCTCAACAGAAAATATCTTATATCTCAAAAGAAGATTTTTACATTTTTTCTAATTACCTGTAAGAAAAATAGATGGAGAGGGGTAAACACATTCTGTTTGACAATGGGATAAACCCCAGAGATTACTTTCTTTCTGCAATATATACTGATTTACTCACAGGGGAAGCCTGTGGTGGAGGATTTAATTACATGGGAAGTGGAAACCACAAGATGTGAGTTTGAAACCAGAAAGAGGTAACAAATATCAGTCCTTGACATGTTCAAAGTTCCTTCTTTGACAAGGTATCTTCCCAGCCCATGAGTTTAATCTTCAAAGCATTACTCTCCCCTAATTATTGGTTTGCTTCTTCAGGATTACCAGATCTCATATCAGTATCAGAACCTTTCATTAGTTTGTTTACTATACCTGATGACTTTAGTTTTGCCTGAGACTTCCTTCGCTTATATGTCAGGGGAAGCATGTGTTCATCCTTAAACCCCATTGATTTCTCATTGCGGATGTCACTTACGCTTTTGATTTGATT